AGCATTCTATCTGACATTCTCTCTGGCATTTGTTCGGGTCCAGGCGTGGCCCACAGCATCCGGAGCTGGCAGAGGATGAGAGGAGAAGGAGGAGGAGGAGGATGAAGGGGTTGCACCTTTGTTAAAATCTAGAGACCCTCAGCTGGCAGGTGGGGAAAAATGAATAGTGTTATGGATTCCCCATTTAGATAGAGGCTAATTCAAGAATCACCATAAAACCCAATGAACCCAACAAGAATCTACCTGGTGTTGCCTTGGATCTTTTCATGTGGAGCATAGGATTTACCACAGGCATCCATAGGCCAATTGAATGAAATAACCATCAACCATCATAAACCAATGATAATATATGCCTCACCACCAACTGAGCTAATTGTTGTTCATTGATGTTCATTTCCGGAGGCTAATGTGGCAAAACTAAACAAACCGTTGTTTCGCATGATTGACACTAGCCCCCCAGTGATGGTTGGCTGATGGGATGTGTTATTCTTACTGTATAAAAGATTGGTCCCCCATTTATAACCCATGCACTATCCCCATCATATTATCCCATTAGCAAGTAAATTAATGCATGAATCATGTTTAATCATTTATAAATCCACTAAGCAACTCCCATTACAATTACATACATCATCACTATTCATCCACTTTTATTACATCTATGATTGCTACATCTATTCTAGATTCATTAAAGAGCCCTGGGCTACTCCTAACAGGGCCACTCCTAAAAGTTGCTATCCTTTCAAACAAATCCAAAAAAACTCAAAAAATCAAAACAAAAATATTCAAAAAAATCAATCCAACAATTCAAAAAGAAACTCCAAACCTCAAAAAAACAAGACAACAAGCCAAAAAAATGAAAAATATATATGCAAAACAAATCAAAAAGTTCAAAAAAAAAAGTTTTAAAAAAGTTCAAAAAAAAACAAAAAAACGGCAAAACAAATGAAAAAAAGTCGGACAAAATAAAATAAAACAAAACAAAAAAACGGGAAAAAAACATAAAACAAGTTTAAAAATATCAAATGTTCTTTAAGTACTTATTTAACATAACCTAAAAAGTACGAATTAAAATAACTATTTGGAATGAAATATTTTTTTTTGGAATGACATGGAACTAAATTGAATTAATTATATGGAATTAAAATGAATGAAAAGGAATGTTCTAGGAGTGTCCCTGTAAGGAATGTCCCTCTCATAGAAAAGATAGATGGTTTCAATTGAAGCTCCCCATCAAAATTGCCCCATTGACATTAGCATACCCATTTCTTTGACCCTGTCTGAGCACGTCTCCATCCTGCGACCCACCTTGGTGACGATGCGCATCTCTTCCAGGATGCAGGCATTCGTCAAAGCGTTCACCCCGGCCCACGCGGCACCGCGTAAGATGCCTCCGGGTCATGAATGGTTCACTCGGGGGAGTTCACCCAGTTTACCCACCAGAGCTGGGGAAGCTCAGCTGGATTCATGGTGCTGTCAGCACCACGGAACACCCACGCATAGATCGCTGTTTACCAGACGTAGTTCCAGCCCGTGGTTCGGAAATCCATGTCACGGGGCATCGGACACAAGCACTGGATCACTGGCATCAGGTTTTCAGAGAAATTCAGAGGACTAAAATGCAAAACAACCAATAATATGGATGTTGTGTTTCATAATGGACCAACCTGAAATAGGGCCTGAAGTATGGTGATTTTAAGATGTGGGTTATATGTGTGTGTATATATGTATATATATGTGTGTAGAGGGACACGTACATTTTATACGATCTAATTATATATAATTAACATATATGTCAGTAAACATACGTAATCATACATAAAAATGTTTAAAATGGTTTAAACACATAGCATATCACTAAATTACATTGCACCATCATCTCATCTCATTGAGATCAAACAAAACCGCCCCCTTTCTGACCTTCGTGTGAGGCGATGAACAGCTGCATGCTGCTCAACACCTTCCTTGGCCGTCAGCAGCACCACAAATTAGGCCCCTGAGATGATTTTGATGCATGTCACTTTTGTAAAGAAAAAAAATAGCAATGTATCTGGTTGGTGGTTGAGCCAACCCCTCTGAAAAATATGAAAGTCAGTTGGGATGATTATTCCCAATATAAGGAAAAATAAAATTCATGTTCCAAACCACCAACCAGGTATGCTTGGATTCTTTCCTGCCTTGACATGGGCCTTTGTTCATCTTTGTTCCGCGGTCAGAGGATCCAAGCTGGGTGCAAACACCATGAAATGGTGGATTGGGTCAGCACCCTATGGTTGAACAAACTCAATGCATGTCTTAGATTTGTAGATGTACTTATACATACTTTTACATACTTATACATACTTATATACATATCAATAGAATTCAATACATATCTATACAAATCACAGGATTGGTTTCATGGAAAGACCGGAAAATGCAAATGTTTCTGCCACTGGAGGGGGTAACCCAGCCGCAATCAGCCGAGGTTCTGGAGATAGTAGTCTGGCTTGACACCCATAGCCACCAGCACGACCTCCTTATTGAGCCTCAGTTTGGCCGACATTTTTCTTGGAATCACCAGACAAAAAGATCCAAAATCTGAGGGGTTTACCGGCCAAAATTAGGATCTATATAGATCATTCCAAATGTTCACATCAACGACCAAGCCAATGAATCAGCTGGATAGATCTGGATAGAATGGTAAAATGAAGTCACGGATAATGTGAAAATTCACTGAAGATATTTGGGGATGCAATTTGTGTGTGTGTGCGTGTTTTGAATGGGATATCAATTGATATCATGGGGTTTTAATGGGATATAGGATAATATATATATAATATATATAATATATAATATAATATAAACCAACAATATGATTTGACTTTGTCCCAAAATAATAGGAAAAACAAAAAAAAACAACGACCATCGGGATGTCACCCGACATCCCAACTGCCCGAAGATTGCGACTCGTACGTAGTTCCCTGTGAAAAAAGATCCACCACTGAGCCGTTCGAATTTGCGACTGCTATGTCTATTCTCAAAAAAAGTGTTTCCGAAGGATGTTTTTCCAAAAAAAGGCAATTTCAGATCATTCTGACCTCATCCAGGACCTTCGGAGGGAACTCATACAGTATGTCCACCAGGTGTCATGGGCCATTTCAGAAGCAAGTGTGCTCATGGGCCATCTGAATTCAACCACCTCCAAAAATCAGTGACCCCCCCACCTTGATGTTCCGGTTTTGTGTTATTCGGGTTTCTGTTTTGGGTTTCTTAACCAGCGACAATTTACCAATGGCCCTTCCCCCATTCTGCCCTCACCTGTCCTACTATGGCACGTTGGTAAGTGATTCATACTGGGAATCACCCAAATCAATGGCTGGATTGTCGCCATTCCCACTGAAAAATCAACCTGTGCTCGAAGTTATACCCCAGTTGGTTGGTCGATTTTCCCAGTTGGTTGGTTGATTTTCCCACACCAGCTGATTGAGTCATACCCCACTTAGACACACCCCATGCCTCCAGTTGCCGAATTTATGATGGCCTCAAGAGGGGTCAAGTTGTGTCACCTTGGGATCCTGTGGGTTTTCGGTCCCCGCCATCAGATTGCGCCGCGGGACTCATGAACCAACATCAGCTGCCGTTCGCAAATGTCCACCAGAACTGCTTCGCTTCCATCCTCACCTGCCATCTGGGTTGGGGATCATCATCCCAGGTGGAGAACATATTTGAAAACTATATACATATTATATATGATTATATGTGTATATATATATATCTATATAATTATATATAATATGTATGTATGTGTATATTGTCAATCTATGCTTTGATTTCTTGGTCCATATGTTTGGTCATAGTCATGGAATGATGGAAAGATCTTTGATACCATTCGAAAATCACATCGAGCTGGGTATGGGTCTGCAAGATTTGCAAATACAGATCACATGCAAACATGTGTGTGCCCTCATTATCCCCCATTTTTAGCTGTACCAGCTATACTCCTGAGCCTACGAATACTGTAAACCAGCGTGATGTGGGGGATAGTCTGAGATAGGAACCATAGGAGACAAACCCGCCTGCAACAACAGATTCGGCCACTAGAAGCTTTACCACTTCTTCCGAATTCTTCCTCAGCTGGGAGTTGTTTGGAGGGCGCGACCGCCAGGTTTTAAATCGAAATCTCGGATCTTTCCAGAGATTTCCATACATTTTACCAACAAAGATGGGATAAAAAGGGCACATTTAACATCATTTAACCATGAAACCACCAACAAGTATTGGTTACAGTAAATGTCCCCAATGAAATCCCATGTTTCTTGGTTAAATCCATTGTTTAGAATGGGTGAATCTTAACCAACCACTAACTTAAATGCTAATTCAAAAGATTATTAGCTAGTTCGCTTGATTAAAATTCAAGTTGACACCACTTTCCATTCTCGGGGGTTTCCAAGTGGGTTACCATGTGATATCACATGTTTATCTTCCCCTCTGCTTCCCTGCCATGTGCGATATTGCCGTGTCGAGATGCACGATGGGTTTGTTGTACTCCAACGCCAAGGTGATGATCTCAGGGAATCGTGTTGTGCGCTGAGCCCCGGAAGTATTTAACTATAGCCACCTGGGATTATCATGGATCATTTTTGGAGGTATGACATGTTATGACTATTTAATAAACATACATGATTGAATGAAATTGCCTGATCCTGGTCGCCCCTGGACATGGAAAACACACTTAAGAAATGCTTGTGTCTGAAAATGGTGATTTTAACCCAACTACGGTTAGCTTAACAGGGAAAATTGCAGTTTGTACGCCGCTGGAGTTGGTTTTCCCCAAATTTTCAGACACATCCAAATAAGGGTATGGGCGGGTCAAAAAAAACCTGGTACCCGTCGATTTACAAAGTAGCTGGCAACTGAATGTTCATCCCCAAAAGCCATGCAAAATTACATCTTTCCATTCCCACATACCCCAAAAATTAGACCCCAAAATTGAAGGTTTTTAGATTAAAAATGGCCCAAATCCGTCCGGTTGGTCGCCATATGAAACTTGCCAGGGCAGTCACGGTGTAGTTCACCGCGTTGGTGACCGGATCCCGAACAGTGTCGATGCTTTTGAGCAGGAGAGCCTCATAATCCTGGGCACTGAAGGCAAGATATCATCATTCTGTTCAGTTCATCATATACACACACGTACCTATGTATGTCTGTATGTCTGTCTCTCAAAATGATCTCCCGTATTCAAATGTCCATGGTTCCTGTGGATACTTCAGTACAATCCTTCCACGGCCTTGTTGTGGAGGTTTCAAGGAGAAATCCAACGGCCAAGCTACTGCCCACGAATCCGTCACTTTCTGCAAGTCCTGCTTGGCTGGATCCAGAAAAGTGTTGGGATTGACCAGGAAAATGTACAGGATACAGGAAACCGAGGCTTTTTTGACATTGAAATAGCTGGTTTTACCAGTTTCCCTCTGAATCGTCCAGTCGAAGAAACAACCAACCACTAAAAAAAGCACAGTTTGAAGCAACTTGCTGTCTCTGACCAAGGGGGTTGCTGGAACAGTCAAGCCAGTTCCTACATCTCTCTGCTGAGAATCAGAAATTGCATCAACCATCCAACTTAGCCACTCATAGAGGCCAAAATCATCCCAAGGACTTGACCCTTGGACATGTCTGGAAAACGCCCAAAAGCCAATGATCCCAATGCTTAAAACCATTCTATAGATATAGCTGTTAAATTAATACCTTATTGGAGAACCCAAGTTGCTTCACCCTAACTTCCAACATTGCTTCCAAGGGAACTAGCTCGAGTTTCCATACGCTTGTCACTAGAAATTGATCTGGAGGATTGATGCGGTGAAGCACCAATTTCGTTTCTCGTGGTTTCTCGGGTTCTCCAACCCCAACCATCGTGAGCATCATAGGATGGTGCTTCCAAGCGCCGTGAAAAAGCTGATCTAAAGCCACATGAAACCACCAACTAGCCATAACTATCATCAGCCGTTCTCCATTTTTGGCAGGCTCGATACACCATTGCGAGGCAAAATGTTCATTGGTATTGGTCAATCGTCCCCATGTCCCCAATTGCTGGTGGAATAGCAATTTTTGTCACCTCAAACTGCCCCCAATCTTCCCATAGTCCCCTGATTTAAAGCGTAACTAATTTTTCCACTATGGCCATGAAATGCCATGAACTCCACCACTTTCAGCTTCGCCGCTTCGCCGCTTCGCCGCTTCGCCCCGGCCTTTTTCACCAGATCGGTGCTGGCGGGCAGAATGTACCGCGAGCTGTCCCCATTGATCAGTGCCTGCAAATCCGTGTTGAACTGCTGAATGGTTGCTCGCAGGTTGGCCTGGCTCAGTGACTTACACACAGAAACGGTCTTTCAGCAAAGAAATTGGGTCTACCCCAAGGTTTGACCATTTTGATGGGGAAAGTGATGATCAACGAGATTTTTGGGACCCTATTTTCTATGTATTTTCTGACAAACCCGAAGATCACTTGGCACTTTTTCATGTCCAACTGGGTCATAATTCGTCATGACCATGGTTACACCACTCAGGCTTCCTGGCGTGAAAATGGCAAACCAAGGTAAAACCCTCGCCAAACCTGGGTCTTTGGAAAAGTTTGGCCTGGAATCTACCCAATGATCTTTGGTAATCCTCGTGATCAAAGTGTATGCACAAAACGATGGATTGGTTCTGCCAGTCGTTTAAGGGTGGGACTCCGGAAGCACAAGTCCCTAAATTATGTTTCAATCATATAGTATAGAATATGTAATATGTAATAAAAAATGTATTGACCTCAAGTGATAGGTTTATTTTATGTTTATAGTTAGTATGGCCAAGGTCATTCACGCCTTAATGCCAGCTCATGGGGGAACACACACACCCAGTTTGTTAACAGTGGCGTTTCCAAGAACGTGATAGTTCCAATCACAACTGTTACCATCCATATCGCTCAATCCTGGCTTGACATTAACCATATATAACTGGATCAATTTTAGTCATTTACCCCAATCCAATTCCATTCATTCCCGACGTCGCAGGGTTCGGTCGTTTTAATTCAGCCAAATGTTGGGCTAAATCCACCAGTTACGTTTGTTGATTTATAACCCCCATGAACTAAGTCGATATATCTAGGATTAAATTGGAAAGAAAAACCAGGTAACTAGCTATAAATCCTCAATTTGGTTCATTGGATCAGCATTTTGTCCATTAAAACAACCATTTAAAAGGATAACCAAACACCCTTTTTTGAACTGCCGATAGTGGCCTTGGCTGTCTCGGTATTGATGTCTTGAGCCACTAGGACAAGCTCCTTGGTGAGCCTCTGACACAAGATCCTGGCGTCAACTTTGGGTCACCTGGGACCCAAAAATGGATGGTCTATGAGGATTGGTCATTGTGGCGTTAAGCCATATGATTTTCTATCCATGTTCGAGGATTGATCATTTTTGACACGTCCCCATCTGTGATGATAGAAAAAATATGAAATATGAATACCGTGAATTTTGGGAG